TCACTGGTCTCCTCACAGTGTTCGCCCACAGACAGGCCGGTGCACCGCACAGGCACCTGATATTTAGACCAACCTTGTCTTAACCAGGGCGGAGGTGAATTATTCATCTGGCCTTACTGAAGTGGGCAACCGGCACAAGGCCTCTCTGTCTGTCTGCAGCACCGCTGTACCCTGCTACCAGGTGATTCCTGAGTCCGGCTCCCCGTCAGCAAGGAGCTCACTCAGATGTGCAGCTCTCTCGTGAATGCGCTCTGTCATTATGGGATTCCCTTTTGAGGATTCAGTGTGTACCTGTGTCTCCATCTCTTGTTTGATGAAGTCAAACCTCTGAGTCTCTCATCCTCACAGGTCTGATTAGTGGCTTGCTGCTGGTGTGCTGCATTTTAAGCAGCAGCACCAATGCGCTGCTCGATAGGATTGTGTAGACTGAGTCCCCTCTCTGGTCTTAGATGTGACGTCTGCAGTGTTACTGTTGCAGAATCTGATGATGGTCACCAGGCTATTTGTGGAGGAAGATATTGATACACTCAGAAAAACCTGCCCATGTAGCAGATGAAATTATGTGATTGGAAGAAACAGAAATGTTTCCTCCAGACAAGTCTCTGAGCAAAACAGTCTGTTGCAGGATCAGTCCCCTGTGTTTGTAAGGGGCTCGATTGTTTTGTTCACCAAAAAACCAGTTGCTGTGGATTCTGACTTACGGTGACCCCACGTGTGTCCGAGTAGAACTGTGCTCCATAGGGTTTTCAGTGGCGCCTCTGGGTGAACTCAGACCCCCAACTTTTCAGTTAGTAGCGAAGCACATTAACTGTCTGTACCACCCAGAAGCTCCCTGTTTTGTCCACCTCCTCCCCAAATTGAGGGGGCCTCTATCAACCCTCGGACACTGACTAGCAGCAAGAAGGCTGGTTCCTCCGTAAACCACTTTCAAGTGGAGCACAGGCAGGCTTTTGCTCGCAAGGAAGGCAGCCTGTGTCCCCTCTAACATGGAGGCCCAAAACCCTTCCAGGAAACGTTGTTGTTATTGGGTGTCATTGAGTTGATTCCAACTCATAGCAACCCCACGTGAGAGAGTAGAACTGTCCTATAGGGTTTCCTAGGCTGTAATCTTTATGGGAGCAGATCACCAGGTCTTTTCTTCCATGGAGTGACTGATGGGTTCCAACCGTTGACCTCCTGGTTAGCAGCCAAGCACTTAACTATTGTGCCATGGGGCCTCCTTCCAAGATACATACCCTTCTTCAAATCCCTCAAAGTCGTGGAAACGTGGCCTGCTTATTGAGGCAACAGATTAGTGTATCTCAACTAGCATCAGCCTATGATTCAACACAGCCCATTGCCCTGCTGCCTTGTGGCGGGCTCATAATTGGACCCAGGGCCAGGCTGCTTTTGAAGCGAGGCCCTCGCCGCCACCTTTCATCTCGGCCACACTGGAGGTCCCAGTTAATTGAAGTCACCATGCTCCACCTAACAAGCCACCCCTGCATCCCCGAAGTCAGATTCCGGGCTGTCGGGTCTGCAGAGGGGCGGGCGGGGGGATGGCCTCTGAGGCTCTGTCAGCACCCACCACCCCACGCCACGCCCAGCAGCACTGGGCGGCATCAAGGTACCGGCTTCCCATTCCTGGGGCTTCTTTTCCTTCAAATTGGCATATTAAAGTGAAACTTTAAGAGTTTGAGTTGGAATTGTGCCCAAAAGTCAAGTGTTGAGTGGATGCCGAGGCCAGGAGTCAATCTAGTCCCTCCCTCCTCCCTGTGTCATCCACTTCCTGTCTCCTTTGGAGACTCGCTGTGTATGTTTGTACCCCTAGATCTTCGTTTCTTCTCCAGCCTCACCTCAGTCGTTCAGTGCTGTTCCTTCATCACAGCTGTGTTCCCACAGGTTTCTTGGCCTTCTCACCTGGGTGTCTTACTTTGTATTTCTAAGACCTGTCCGAAGTCCACCTCCTAGTGTCCCACCCCTCATCCCTCCTCATCTCACCCACCCCAAGCCCTGCCATTGGCCCCCCACAGTGACTTCTCAGGGACTCAGCGATCAGGTAGTCTTCTCAGGTGGGGGCTGTCGGCCAGGGACTCTTTGTGGGCAGCTCTGTGCTCAGTCACCATGAGCCCGTCCACCCCAGTGGTCTCTATAATCTTCACGTGCAGTTACAGCCCCAGCCCCCAGCTTCAGAGTGGGGTGCTCTCAGGCCCGATCCCAAGGGCGTGCCCTGTCCACCAGGCAAAGCTGAGCTCCTGACTCCATCTTGTGTGTGCCATCAACCACGGTGTCACCGTGGCAGCAGCCTGGTGCGAAGGGTGCCCCTGTGCCCTGTGGCATGGCCATCTGTGGGGAGAAGCAGACGTCAGCATAGGGTTGAGGACATAGACAGAAGCCTGGTCCTCCTCACCCTCCTTGTAAAAACAGCATGGGGGAGGTGCCTGACCTCCTCTAACTTCACAAGGGGAAGGAGAATCAAGATCAACAGCCCAAGGCTGATTCCTGTGAGGCGGAGGTCAGACAGGCCTCCTCTCTCCACCATCTTTACCAATTCTGACGCCAACCGTCCCTCCCACGGCACTCTCTACTTCTCTGCTGGGTTCAGTAATTAATTGTAATGACCACACAGAACTCACAGAGAATACTCTTGATTATGGGGTTTATTAGGGAAGTAACAGGTTACAGTTCAGGCTCAGGATACAATTCTTCCATCAGGACAGCCTGTTCCTAGCCGTGCTGGCAGGCATGCCTCTCCCTGGCCCTGGGCCTCTGCCCAAAGGCAGTCAGCTTTCTCTTTCCATGGTCCGGGAAGCCCACCGCTCCATCTGCGGCTGCCGGGTCTCTGCTGCCACTTCTCGCTGCCTTCAGTGTTACAGCTCTCTCTCTCTTTTTCTCCTTGTCCAGGAGCTTCTCAGCGCACAGGGATCCCAGGTCCAAAGGATGTGCTGCCTCCTGGCTGTTCTTCCTTGGTGGGGGTGGGATCTTCTCCCTCTCACCTCTGGGATGGCTTATTTCAAGCCTAGTGGCTTGGCAAAACTGATCGATTGCTTTGGTGGGCCACAGTTACCCTATCACACCGTCCCACACAACCATCTGCGTGGAGGTTGGAAGACCATGGCTAGAAAGGCTGTCTTAAGTAATTTATCACACCACACTCCTGTTCAATATCTTCCTCCCTTCATCCTCCTCTCTTGTCATCGTCCTCCCTCACCTCTCCATCATCCAGGCCATCCTCCCCAGCAGGGTATGGTGGGGAGGGCGAGTGTTTATTCTGGGCCAGGTTATTCTGAGTCCTTCTACCACACTCCAAGGGCTTCTTACCCCATCTCAGTGCCCACACAGGACATAGCAGAGCAGGATCCAAACCCAGGTCTGAATCCCGCAAGCCTCACTGGTTTTGAGTGGGTGATGTTGGCTTCCCTGCTTATGTGACAGCGTCAGTAGCATTTTCACACGTCTGTAACTTAGCTGAGGGGTGTATAATTTGACTCGTCAAGCTGTCATGGTGTCACAGTTGCTGCCTGCTGTCCATGATTTTAAAGATAGTCCAGTGATGACGAAAGTGGTGACAGTGAGAAGGATGGTTCCGTGCACCTGCACTGCTCTGAGTCCTTGTGCAGAGCATTTCCTGTGACCCTCAGTTGTGCCAGGAGGCTGGTGCGCCTTCTCTTCACTCCACCAAGAAGGAGGGGTGATGGGTCACAGGGGGTGGGTCACCTACAGGTGGAGCAGGGCCAGGCTCAGAAAGCAGGCAGCTCACTCTAGAGCTGAATTAAATGCTCCTAGCAGAATTTGCTTCTTTCAAATAGAATTATCGTATAGTAATCATAAATGGTGGGAGCCCTGGTGGTGCAGTGGTTAAACCTTCAGCTGCTAACTAAAAGATTGGCAGTTTGAATCCATCAGCTGCTCCTTGAAAACCCTATGGGGCAGTTGTACTCTGTCCTATCGGGTTGTTATGAGTTGGAATCAACTCAACAGCAGTGGGTTTTTTGGATCATAAATGGTAGTGTTAAAGGTAAAAATGAATAAGTTATACTTTTAAAAAATGACTTGAAGTAATTGCTTAAGGAGAAACCAGGTGTGAGATGTAGGAAGAAGGTCAGACTGGGACCAGCGGCGGTGGTTCTGATGGGCCCTGCTTTTACATCTTAACCCTGGTTATTTGTCCAAAAGGGCAGTAGTCTGAAACCATGATCCTTGCTGAGCCAGGAGGCTGGGCCTCTCCTGAAACTCGGAGCAGAGTGTGGCTGCCGGCATCCTGGGGGGAGTGTGTGTGGGGCTCTGCATCTAGCACACACACATACTGTAATCTGGTCAGTACTGCTGTGCACTGTGTTCAGTCTCAGTTTAACTGACCACAGGGAAGTTGATCATTTCATATTGGGAGCAGCGGCTGACTTTGTAGGGGCGTGAACGACTGCAGACAACCCGGCACAGCCGTTGCTTCCTGATTTTAGGAGACAAGGTCATCTTCTGCACCACTATATACCACTCTCACCAGCATCCACGTGTGCAGGGAAACGTGCCAGGGTGTTTTCTTGACCACAAGTCACTTAACTACATATGATAGAGCAGGTGGACCTAGAACAGGGCAGAAGCCTAGGTGAACCAGCGGTTCAGAAGGCACTTCTTCCACCTGCTTTTCCTGCTGGGGAAGATGGCACAGCAAAGACGGTGGTGGTGCTGATGCTGATGCTGGGTGTGTGTGCGTGTATGTGTGTGTGTGTGCGCATGTGTGTTCAGACACAGTAACAGGACTGTTCAAAGCTGAAACCTAACCAAGTGCCCTGGGTCTTTTAGGATAGTGAGACATTTTCTGAGTGTACTTTTTTTTTTTTATTGTACCAATATTATATTGCAGAGAGATGAAAAGGGGGCAGGGAGTGGGAGGGGACCTAACACTTTGCACCTGTCACAAGTTTTCTTTTTGAGTTAGAGTCCCTGCTTATAAAAGTTTAATTGATTCCCAGCAGTTTATGTGCATGGTGCTTAGTGGGAGTGTTTTATTCTCTCACCAGCTACACGGTTATTTGGAAAACGAGCCACTCACGCTCCAGCTGTTCATTGGGACGGCGGACGACCGCCTGCTGAGGCCCCACGCCTTCTACCAGGTCCACCGGATCACAGGGAAGACTGTCTCCACTACCAGCCATGAGGCTATCCTCTCTAATACCAAAGTCCTGGAGATCCTGCTGCTGCCGGAGAACAACATGCGAGCAATGTAAGCCCGAGTGCCTCTTGGGTTCCGGGTGTCTGCAGTGGGCTACATCCGCGGGGCGCCACGTCTGCAGTGGGCCGTGCAAGCTCTGCTCTTATCTGCTTTCTGCTGGCTCTCCTGCCAAACATCTAAACTTCTGGGCCCAGGGTGCCCTCAGCTTAGCACCCAAATAAACTTTTCAGAAATTTTGTGACAACGGGATTGTTTCTTCCTAGGGTTTGAGCACTGAGTGTATTGCCTCTTAGAATGAGTATCGCAGTTACACACCCATGAGTGGCACAGCCCGCAGAAGCACCAAATGACACCTCTGTATCCCTGCATGCAGCAGTGCAACCTGCAGGGATGGCTAAGAACAGATGCTGAAAGTTAGAACAGCACGTCTGGACCGTGTATTCACTGTCAGGGTTACTAACATAGCTATGTGACCAGTTCCAACTCGCAGAGTCAAATCTGACTTTACAGTTAGTTTAAAAGAGAATTTGTGAACAAACAGTCACATAACATCCAAATGGGGCCCGTGCGCATTGTGTCATTTAATACCACTAACGAGTACTGTCTGGTGCCAGGACTTCACCGTCTAGGCTGTGGACAAGGCAGGGCAGGCGGACATGGTGTCCTTGTGGCGCTGACAGCGAGCAGGATGGGAAGGGGAGACACCAATGGTGAATGTGTCGATGTGAACAAACAAGCCAAGGAGGAAAAGTGATCATCACATCTCGCTGATGATCACAGCATGGTGCTGAGGTGGACAGCACTGGGGGAGGTGGGAGGAGCCTTCTGGGGGGCAGGGCCAGCTGTGAAGGGGGCTACAGTCCCACAGTGCAGAGGCCTCGAGGCCCAAGCAAGTTGGGGCTCGTGGAACAGCGAGGGGCCAGGCCGCCGTGGCTGTAGGAGAGGAGGTGGCAAGGCTGTGCTACAGAGGACTTTGTGTGATACTCCACTAAGTTATGTATAATGATTCCACTCTCTAAGCCAAAACACAGGAAAAGCTTTTTCTCTATTTTAGCTGTTTGCAAATTCTGGGAACTTGACACACCTCCAAATTCATTCTAGACCCTTAGGTTTGCACTGTGGTCATGGTTCCCCAAGGACCGGTGTCACGTCAGGTCGTTAGAGAGGACTCGCACGCTTGTTTGTGAGTTCATTTACCCTGCAGTTACCACACCTGATGGACGTAGAACAGCCCACAAGGAACAATGCACAACATGACCCAGGAACAACCTCCAAGATCAACCCTGCTGATGACTGAGTTGTACTTAAATGCCAGTCGCTGCCTTACCTACTGATGCAGTGCAGTTGCGTACAGAGTGTCTCATAGGAAGTTTGTTCTTTTTTCTCTTAGCTCATGGAAAAGGGACGAACAGTGGTCTTCACTGGGTTGAGTTTGTACATGGAATAAAGTAAAATCATGTGGAACCCTAGAAAAGGAGGGTTTAAGCTGAGCAGTAGGGTGCTGGCAAAATCTGAGCATCTGCTCCTCTGGGGACCCCTATCCCCTCACACCGAGGCAGAGGACTGTGCTGTGCCGCCTCTCCCCACTCTCAGCTTTATGCTTTTTGTCTGTGGTGACTGTGTCCCCACCCGGCCAGGTAGGGGCACCCAGGCAGTGTTGAGGGGCTAGTGATGGAGGCCCAGTGACTGAGGGGTGAGTTGTCTACACAGCTGCTCCCATTTCCCACCTCACCTGCAGGTGTAGACCTCAGGGTTCGGCCCTACCCTTGGTGAGTGCCCCATCTTTGACTTTCCTGTGGGGAGGTGCCTGCTACGGGGCTTTAGCCTGCAGGCTCTGTGCTGGGATCAGGCGCCCCTTGGACATGGGAGGTAGGGGATCTTACACGCACGTGCCAGTGACTGAAAGAAAAATGTGGTCTTCTGTCTTGGGCAGTATCGACTGTGCCGGGATTTTAAAGCTCAGAAACTCTGACATTGAGCTTCGGAAAGGGGAGACGGACATTGGGAGGAAGAACACCCGCGTGAGGCTGGTCTTCCGCGTCCACATTCCGCAGCCCGGAGGCCGGACCCTGTCCCTGCAGGTCGCATCCAACCCCATTGAATGCTGTGAGTACCAGGCATCCTTGGTCTTTCCAAGTGGTGATGACCTCGTTTCAGATGTTTTCTGTTGTAGTAGCATTTGACGCTGCTCTTCATGAGTTCCCACCACACGTGCGTGTCTGTGTGGAAAGCAGCTGCCTTCTTCACTGAGATTTGGGAGTTTAGTGACAGCAAGTAGGGCTGTGTCTTAGCCTCCATGCTAGCCTCCCCAGATGACATGAAAGTTTAGTGACAGTGAGTCTGGCTGCCTCTTTGCTTCCGTGGCCTCTGCTGGCAGAGCAGCCATGCAGCTTCGATGTTACCGACTTAGGGTGCCTGTGGAAAGAACGAAAGGGGAGAAGGTAGTCTGAAACAGTGGAATGTATGTGTTATTACAGTAATTCCCTCACATCTCAGGCACTGAGAAAATGAAATTTGGGCATTGGAGTCCTTTGGACTGAACTAGCATTTATAAACCTAGTGGTGGGACGTTGCTCTTTCCTTAGTGACTTCTGGTTTTCTCTCCTTCCGGTGTGGCGGATGCCTCAGTGGGCCATGTGGGCCTCGGCTCGGCACCCCCCACCCCCCTTTCATACTAGGCCACTGACTGTGCCTGGGAACCGTAGTGCCCCGTCTCTCCTGCTTGATATTTTAGTGAATTAGGTCAGTGGGACACAACACATGCAGCACCAAGATTTCCCCTGCCTCAGACCTTCTCTCCCATCCTGTCTTCCATGGCCCAAGAGGGGATGGCAGGGAAGGTCAGGGTGCCCCACGAGCAGGAGGGGTCTGGCCACACCAGGTGGCCTCTGTCACAGCCCTTCAGTACCCCATCTGCTGGGCATCCTCACTCCCTCCCACCCTCTGAGCATGGTTCCTGTGGCCAATGGCACCGAGCCTGCCTGGCCTCTGAGCGTCTCTACCCAGGATGGGATGCACTCACTCTGTTTCTTGTCTTTCTCAAAGTTGGTTTGCATTAGGAACAGAGGGCATGCACTCTCGCATACATGTAAACTCACGTGTATGCACATGTGCAAATGTGTCCACATGCACACGCAGGCGCACAGACCTGCCTCGTCACGTGTCTGTGTACACGCACGCATGTAAGTGAAGGACCTGGTGTCCAAGGTGGACAGGCTAGATACGTGATTTACCCCTAAATATCAGTGTCCTTGATGTAACTTGGAGCAGAATTGGCCAAATTTTATTCAGGAGAATATTTTGATTGTTTCTTGAGAATAATTTTCAAAGACTCCAGGGTGGAGAATGGAATTGCACCTTTGTTTCATTTGGGAATGACAGCGTTCGTAATATTCCTGTAAATACAGACAGGACAGCACGTGTTCCTGACAGGTCGGCGAATGATGTGGCAGGGAGGTGTGTACTGCCCGCCTGCCATGCATCCTCAGAAGCAGCATTGCTGCCTTGGGCTGGTCCACACGGTTGTACTCACCCTGCCCTGCACTCCCACCACCCCTCTGCCCGCCCAGCCAGTCAATACAGTTGTACTCACACCTCTCTGTCTCCCCCCACCCCCCACCCCAGCCCAGAGATCAGCCCAGGAGCTGCCGCTGGTGGAGAAGCAGAGCACAGACAGCTACCTTGTGGTAGGCGGCAAGAAGATGGTCCTCTCCGGACACAACTTTCTGCAGGACTCGAAAGTCATTTTCGTGGAGAAAGCACCAGGTATGTCCTTTAAAAATAGGCCGTCTGCTTGTTTTCTGTTGTGGGCACTGGTGGAAATTGGCTCGTGGGTGGACAGAGTTGGGACGCCTGATTGCAGACTGGCACCATGGGTGGGCGACACGGGGCCTTGAAGCCGTGTCGAGGTGCCTCATGTTTCCACCGTGAGCCTGAGCTCTGTGGCCACTACGCAGTGCGATGGAAGGTGTTAGCGTGTTTCTGGAGCCATCTGCGGCCCTCCTCCCAAGTGTCCCCATTGATACTAGAGGGGCTGCAGAGGAGAGGAAAGGCGTTTGTTCTCCCCAGGCCCTTCTCTTTGGATCACATTCGTGTCAGGGGGCTGCTCTGTGTCTGAGCACCATGGGCTTGCGGCCACGCAGGGGCCTGCGAAGCCTCTCCGCGGTCACACGGCCACTGGTGCGGAGGGCAAGGACTGACCTGCCACTTGACGTTCCAGTCAGCATCTCCAGTCCCCCTCTTGCTGGTGTTCACTGTGAAGCTTGTCCTGGTTGTCTTTCCCTGCGGTGACTTGGCAGTGCCTGCCAGCATCTGTGTGTGCAGACTCTAGCACAGACCCCGTGGGCCCATTCGTGCCTGGCCACCTCGGAGCCCCCTGTTCGCAGTCCCCAGCCCTCTAGGTGTCGGCATAGAACAGACCCGAAGTGCCTCGTTTGCCCCTGGGCTGTCATAAACTTGGGATGGGGTGGGGGGTCTCAGCATCACTGTTTTTTGGGGACTGGACATTGTTTCGGTGGCTCTCCCCCTCCAGGCAGCTTTCTCTGGGGTGGGTGGGAGCTCTGTGGCCTGGCTGATTGATTAGGGGTGTGAGTCTGGCTCACTCTTACCAAGTTCCTGGCCTGTGAGCCGTTTGTCTGTAGAAGGGTGTCCCTCTCAGTGTCTGCGGTCCCTGCTGGCTCCTCAGGTGACTTTGGTAGTAACCTGCACCCTTGTCTGCCTGGTCTCGGTGGGGGCCACCGCAACAGAGACAAAGGTGCAAGGGCTAAGGAGTCTGCACTTGCAGATCTGTGGTTTCCAGTAAAAACCAATAACCATCATGGGGACGCATGCCATGGTTTCGTGCCCAGTGGACACTGGCTCAGCTCTGCGCCGTGGTCCAGCCTCACTGTGGGTCACATGGATGCAGACCCTGTCCTTGCCTGAACTGTCCCTCTGCCCTGGACCCTGCCTTGCCCCACACGGGGCCTCATAGCATTGCCCCATCCGCTCCAAACTAAGTTGGGGGCTGAGGGAGGTGGGGCTGTGGGGGCTGGTCGCTTTCTTTTCTGTTTCACATTTTCCAGTTGAAATTGCCCTGAAAGTGGCCCGTCCGGTACTCACTCTAATCAGCTAGAACCACTGAGGCATTCATCTTCATAATGGGGCCTTGATTTTGTACAGTTTGCTGGAGACGGAGGTACTTCAATCAAAATAGGTATAAACGCCTTCCACGCTTACCTCGGCTTGCCTATATAATCATGCACGTAATTGGGAAATATGCTTTAAATTGCAGAGAAAAGTGTGGTGGTGAGCAGGAGAGCCTGTATTATTGGACACCCTTCTTCAAGGAGGCTGATTTTGAGGTGGTTTAGCCTGCAGGGTTGTAAACGTGACGCATGTTAGGGAGGGAACTCGATAACGAGACATTTGCGATCGCAACGTTGGCCCCGTCCCACAAGGGAGGCTCCGAACAACGTTCTTACTGTTTGCCTCCCCAACTTATGGTGCCTCGTGCCTGGAGAGGGGTATTGGGGCATCTTCTGCACAGCAGACTTCCAAATGCCTTTCATCCATCTATTCTTAGGTAGAGGGGTTAGGCTCCACCTTGGGCTGGGTGCTCTGCTGGAATGTCCACCTTGTTCAGGTCAGTCTTGGCCCTTGTGGGGTACACAGCCACAGCATTTCGATGCAAGCCACCCAGCTGGGCGGGGGGAGGCTCCACCCGTGAGTGCCTGTCACCCTGGCTTGGCCACACCCTGTACTGGTACGAGGTCCTTCCTTGCCTTCTTCACCTGGCTTCCTCATCCTAAAAGCTCGGCGTGCTCACAGTCCCTTGGACACTTGCCCTGGCCCTCCTTTCTGGGCTGAATGCCAACCCTCCTCTCTGGGCTGAATGCCAACACAGCCGTCTTGTGTTGGTCTGTCTTCCCCAGCTGCCCTGAGAGGCCACGACTGGTCTGTAACGTGCGTTCTCCTGTGCCAGCCTCATGTCTGGCATCTAGAAAGCAAGCAACCGACGAACCAGTGCCTGGTTTGGACACGTCATCAGGAAAGACCAGTCGCTAGAGAAGGACATCATATTTGGTAAAGTGGAGGGTCAGTGAAAATGAGGGAAACCCTTCATGACATGGATTGGCAAAACAACTGTTAACAAGGGACTCAGACATATCAACGATCATGAAAATGGCACAGGACCGGGCCACATCTTATTCTTTTATGCATGGGGTAGCCATGAGTCAGAGCTAACTCAACAGCAACTGACACCAACATGATGAGACATGCCCTAAGTCCATGCCCACTAACGAGCAAATTGAACATGTCAATTAAACACTGCAGTCATGTGCTAGATGTTTGTAACTCCATGTTGATATGTAAATGAGACTATCTGCTTGTTCATGCACACAAATGTATACATGCAAACTGAATGTTTTCAGAAGAAGGACACAGATGTCTTTCAGGCCAAGCTGTCGTGTGTAACATTCCTAATGCTGCAGTGCATTGGCATAACTGTGCCCACGCCTCACCCCCTGTGGAGGGCCTCTTTCCGATGTTTTTCTGGAGAAACCACTAACTCTATTTAAATTAGAAACACAGTTACTTACTAGTCTCTGACAGGTCATCTGGGATGTTTTAAGTTGTTGTTTTCAAACCACTGCTTGCAGACAGAACAAGGCAGGCATTTCTGCCCAGTGATTTGGTTCTTTTGAGGAAGTTATTAAACTCAGGCGATGAAAACAGGCATTGCTAGAAAGGACGCTGCCATTTCTGTGTCCCAGCACATCCACCTGTTCTAGAAGCAGTGGGAAGTTATAGCTGTGATTGTTGTCATCATGCAAGGCCACAGGCCAGCTCTGGTGCTGGTTTGGCACACCTTTCCTCCTCTGGGACATGGAAACCCACCTTACAGGGAATCATTTCCGCCTCGTTCTGGGTGCCACATCAGTGTTTGTTCAGTTTGGTGTTTAAAGTGCCTCAGTGCTGGAAGTGTTTTAGAAGTTTCTAATTCAGTGGTTTCTTCTGCCCTCATAGAGCTGCTGTGCTAGGTATTGACCCCCCACTCCCTGGGGATGGCTCAGTTCGTTTTCTTTCTCGGCAGCTCAGGTGGAGGGGTCCCAGAGGAAGGAGCGTGCCGGGACTTGCTGGGTGAGAGTGGGGCCCATGCTCACTCACCCTCCATCTCTGTACCTGGTGAGCAGAATGGAGGTGTCCTGGGGGCCTGAGATGGATCCTCTGGAAGGATCATGAATTCAGTTGTCCTTGGGGCTGAGACAGACCCTCTGAAAGAACCAGCAAGCAGAGAGGAGTCATCCTTGGGGCGTGAGGCATACCCTCTGGAAGAACAGTGAGTGGAGTTGTCCTGGGGACCCTAAGATAGACTCCACTGGTAGGACTGTGAATGGAGTCATCATAGGGACCAGAGACAGACCCACTGGAAGGACTAAGTGGAGTCTTCCTTGAGGCCTGAGACTGACCCTCTGGAAAGACCACGAGCACTCATCCTGGGGTGGGAGGTGGGGGGAGGCTGAGACAGACCCTCAGGAAGGACCGGTGAGCAGCGTGGAGTCATGTTGCGAGCCTGAAGTGTACCCTCCAGAAGGACCTGCCGTCTCCTCGGGTATGGTTGCGAGTCAGGAAGTTCTGGAGAAGCAGTATTGGTGTGCTCCCCCGCTCACAGGGCTCGAGCTTCGTAAATAATGGGCTTTTGCAAAGAGTGCTGCAGCTTTTGTGTGCCAGGTAAAAGGTCTGAGTGTTGAGTAAGCCTGTCCTTGAAGGAATTTAGTTCCTGGCTTCCATATCAGAGGGTGTTTTCCAAAGATAGAAGTCGTGGAGACCGTTCATCGAGAAGCAGGTTTGCTGCGAAGGCCCCTGATGCCAGCCACACCCCATTGGGGTCAGCTCTTGGCCCACACTCTGACGTGAGGTCATCTGTGTCAAACCTACAGGTGCTGAGTGCAAGAGGTCAATACTAGAATGTCCACGTTCTCCTGTTGGCCATCCCTCGCCCTCTTTTTTCAGATCTGTGAACTAGGACACCTGTTTGCACGTGTGTGCATATTTGCACGTGTGTGTGCATATTCAAAATAGCTAACATTCTGACTGATCTGAGAAGCACCCTCATGTCCCGTATTAATGAAAATACTGAGGAAACGCCTTCATGTAGCATAAACTCAGTTTCCTTTGGACGTTGTATCATTCTTCCTTGACCTGAGGCACGGAGAAGGTGAAGGGTTGAGATTTAGTCACACTGAGCATCAGCTAATTTCTTAATGGTACAGTTGAATATAGCTCCTTTTTGCAAAGTGACCTGTCTGTCCGGTTGTGATTTTTTGAAAATATGAATGAAACCTGCTTTGGTTTCTACCTCAACAAACTACGCCCACCATCATGTCCTGGATGAAGCAGCGCCCATGTCATATGTGCACAGCTCTGCAGTTGGGGTGGGGCTCAGCCGAGCGGTTCTGCTGGTCTTGCCAGCGGTCACTCCCGTGGCTGCAGGGCTGGCAGGTCAGCTGGGAGCCAGGATCGCTGGCTCTGTCTCCCTTCCCACGGTTTCATGAGGTCTTTTAGCAATGAAGTCTGGCCTCTCACACGGCAGCTGAGAGCCGTTTTATGGCTAATACTCCATTGTGTGTATATGCCACATTATGTTTATCCATTCATCAGTTGATGGACACTTGGCACTTGGGTTGTTTCCACCTTTGGGATATTATGAGTAGTGCTATGGTGAACATTGGTGTACAGACTTCTGTTTGAGTCCCTGTTTTTATTTCTCTTGGGTATATACCTAGGAATGGAATTGCTGGGATATATGTTAATTCTATTCACTATACTTACCCAATCTGTATGCTGAGCAAATAATCCCAGAATCTGGACTATATGAAGAAGAACTTGGCATCTGGATTGGAGGCAGACTCATTAACAACTTGTGATATGCAGGTGACACAACCTTGCTTGCTGAAAGTGAAGAGGACTTGAAGCACTTGTTGAAGATCAAAGACTACAGTCTTCAGTTGGATTATATACCTCAACATAAAACAAACCCTCACAACTGGACCAGTAAGCAACATCATGATAAACAGAAAATATTGTGAAGAATTTCATTTTACTTGCATCCACAATCAGTGCCCATGGAAGCAGCAGTCATGAAATCAAATGACATATTGCATTGGGCAAATCTGCTGCAAAAGACCTCTTTAAAGTGTTAAAAAGCAAAGATGTCACCTTGAGGACTAAGGTGCGCCTGACACAAGCCATGGTATTTTCAGTCGTCTCATATGCATGCAAAAGCTGGAGAAAGAATAAGGAAGACCAAAGAAGAATTGATGCCTTTGAATTATGATGGTGGTGGTGAAGAATACTGAATATACCATGGACTGCCAGAGGAACAAACAAATCTGTCTTGGAGAAGTACAACCAGAATTCTCCTTCGAATCGAAGATGGCAAGACTTCGCCTTACATACTTTGGACGTGTTATCAAGAGGGACCAGTCCCTGGAGAAGGACATCATGCTTGGTAAAGTAGAGGGTCAGCAAAAAAGGAAGACCCTCAATGAGATGGATTGACATAGTGACTTGCAGCAGTGGACCCAAACATAGCAACGATTGTGAGGATGGCGCAGAACCAGACAGCGTTTGTTTCTGTTATACATAGGATCACTATGAGTCTGACTTGATGACACCTAAGAACAACAGCATGATAATTCTATGTTTAACTTCTTGAGGAACTGTCAGATTGTTTTCCAAAGTAGCTGGATAGTTTCTTTTTCACCCCAGAGTTTCTTGCTTATGAAAGCAAGACTGGTCAGAAGAAAGTGTTCTCTCTGTATGAGACTGTGTTGGGAGTATTAGGATGGGGCGGGTGAGGATGATAAGGAGATAAAAACCTAGTGCGCAGGGAACTCTGCTCACCATCTGACCAACCAGCTGACGAGGGAGATCTGAAAATGGGAGAGTTGATGCCCCCGGAATTGTCCCAGACCCCACCAGGCCCCCAAGTGCTCCATGTCTTTGGGCCCCACAGCAATAACAGCGTAACTGCCTGTCTTCCTGGTAGCACATAAGCTCAGTGAGGGCAAGGCCTGTGTCTGTTGTGTCTGCAGCTTTTCCCTGAGTGCCAGACTCAGGGTGGACACTTCATGCACATCTGTGGGTAAATATTGCACCACTCTCCTGAAGCAAACAAAACAAAGCCAGCAATAAGAATGAGTGTTTGTGCGGCTGAGAGATTGCTTTATCTCCATTGAGATGGTTGAGTAACTGCAGATGACCAAGCCTCCCATTAACAGGAGAGTCTGAGGGAGTGGGCTGAGGTGGGGGTGGGGGTGCTGGGAGGCCTGAGGGGAGGGGGGCAGAGGGAGCAGGAAGGTGGGGATTGGGGTCTGAGGAATGGATGTCAGGTGCCCTTCCACTTATGACTCCTTTTGATCTGTGTTTTGTATTGTTTCAGTTCTGTATTTTAATTTGTAGGACCGTAAAACCACTTCAGTTAATAAGTGTTAATCCCAGTGACCTCACAGAGCTGTAACTATTCAGAGTTTATTCTCTGGTGTGTAGAAACCCAGTCACACACCATCTAAGAATAAAGCTAGTGCGCCAGGGAGGATTACAGAATAATAGCGTGTGTCTCAGAGACGCTCTTCTGCCCTGGGTGAGCTCCGTGCCCCACGTGTGGCAAGAGCCGGTGCTGAACAGCACTGCCTGTGAGCTCCTCTTGCCTGTGGTGTTGGAGCAGGCCCGTGGCCCTGTTGCTGTGGAAACCCTCTCGCTGGGTGTGGCGGGGAAGCCTTTCCTGTGACTCACTCACAGGGAATTCCCTAATGATCTGGAATATTTTTACTCTGGGCTGCTGCGCAGTTTCCTACTGAGGAATCCAGGAGCCGATAAGGCCGAGCACAAAGGCCCATTCAGCCATCGCCCTTCCTGGCCAGGCTGACTCTCCTCATCAGCAGCTCAGAGTGGCCCTGCGGGCGGGGCTGGCGGGACCACCGACTTCTATCAGTGATAAGCGAGTTGCCATCGCTCAGTCACTGTGATTCTGGTGCGAATCTGAGCCATGCTTATGTTTCCTAGAGTCCTAACTATTCACCGTCTTCACGCTGCCTGAGCCCCTGTTTCATCCTGAAGCAGCTACAGTATGTCCGTGTGTTTAAAAGGCAACAGTAGAGCATGACCTGAAGCAGAAAAAGAGGAGCTGGACGCCTCCCTCCTCGGGGCTCTGGAACAATCGCACACACACCAAGACAGAGGAAAAGCACACAGCCAGTGTCCACCCCGCCCTGGGGTGGGCGGGAGGGAGGGGAAGGCCTCGCGGCCATGGTGGTGTGCGCTGGTGGCTCCAAGGAGCAGAACCTGAACAGGAGCATGACAATGCGTCTGCCCTGGCTGCGTGTTATGTCTGTGATCTGAATTATTTGCATGTCGGAGAGGTATAAGTTGCCCGGAGTACTTTTGTTGGTGGCTGGCCAGCAGGAGCTGCCTTTGGGCAGATATGGCTGCCTCACCACGGAAACGTCTGTGGTTGATGGTTTCTGGGGGACCCCCGTGGGCCCTGTAGTAAAAATACTTCTCTCTTCTGTGGGCATATTTCCTCACAGAATGGTCCCTGCAAACGGCTCCTTCCCCACTTTTTATTTGATTTAGCTATGCTGTGTAAACTCACACAGCATGGTTGCTGGGGGAGCCAGCATCGCCAAGGGTCCCTCCTGGAGCAGGGCCAGGAGGGGGTGCTGGCGGCTCCCTCTTGGCTGAAGGATGTGAGCAGCCCTCTGCTTGCGCCTCTGCCTCCAATGGCTCCTCCTTCGCATCATCCAGTGGGTTGAATGCCGTGAACCCCTGGCAGGTCCCAGCCCCCTCCCCCGCCAGCCCCCACTGCCCCTTCAAGGTGTCCCCTGCCCTTCCCAAAACTCCTTTCTAACAGCAAAGCCTGGGCGGTCGCTGGGGAATGCTTGGTGAAACTTGAACCAGGCCTCTTACCACTTCTTGGGGATAGAGACCAGCCACAGCCAGGTTTGCCCTACTGGTGAGATCCTCACACCCAAAACTTTCCTTTGGAGGGAGCTGGGGGTGGGGATATGCTTGTCATAATAAAATCTTAGAAGTTGTTTTTTATAAAAGGTAGTGAGAAAATAGAAGATTAGTTCTCTGAAGAGTAATTTTGATGTAAAGAAACAGAGGTTGGGGGAGGGGGTTGTAGGTTAAGCAGAAGGACCCTGTGTTCTGATGCTCCCTCACCAAGGCAGGTGCGACCCTCGAACCTTCCTGGGGTTAGGAACCCTGCTTTCACTGAGCCTCTGAGCGCAGCCAGTCTGAAGGCTTTGCTGCTTTGGAAAACTCTTGATGACTTTTCAGAGCAGCGAGTTTGTTGTCAGTCTCTTGATGCTTTTTCCTAGAGGAGAGCTGGGTCTGGTCTGTCGCCAAGGAGCTCTTGGGTGGGCAGTGTGTGCTGGAACCTCGATCTGTGCTGCCCCTCGCCCTTGTCACTGTGGGTGTGGCTCACTGAGGCTTCCTGTGCCACCATCCATGCCCCCAGGTGGGCATTCTCGTGTCTCTATAGTTTAGGGCTTGTGACAGGCGCACACCCTCCTGTCTGAAAACGGCAGAAACAAAGTCTAAGTGTGTGTGCTTATGATTTCCCAGAACCCACTTCATTTTGGAGAAGATAAAGACTGGGGGAAGAGGCCTGCAGAAGTAATTAACATCTATTGATTCAAAGTACTTTCCCACAGCTGGTCCCCAGGCAGCATGCGGCCGCAGGGGGACCTCTCAGCACCGGGTGGTGGCTGCCCTTCAAGTAGTCCTGTCCTGCCGCCCCGCCTGCGCACAGTGCTGGGAACAAGGCCTCCTTTCACAGGCCTCTCTGAGGCCTTTTTTTAAACATGCAAACAGCTACTGGGGTAAAGTTAAAAATATCTTATGTTTTGCATTTATGTGTCCTGATGTGGCAAGAAATAGTCAAAGAAGTGACTTTTATTTCCTCCAGCCATGCCTCTGTGGGCAGCGCCGACCCATGTCCAGTGAGGGCTGAGGCCATGCTCCTGGGCCCGAAGTCATTGTAAAAACTCCCCTTTGCAGCAGCACCTCCTCCCGGACCCTGGAGGCCATTCTTCACTTTCCAAGTGTGGACTAGGAAGCAAGCTGGGTCTAGTTCCAGTCACAGCTCACTTCACATACCACCTGGATAGGCTGTGTTCTCTTGCGTGCGTGCCCTTAAAAAGACTGAGATGAAGTAACCCCTCAGGACTGATGTTGGCATTGGCAAGATGCTGGTGAACATAGGAAGAGAGCTTTCTGAGGGTGTTCTGTGAGGTGCCAAGTGCTGCAAGAGGGTGCGACCACAGTAGTAGCTTGTAAGCTCATGCTCATGGTGGACGTGGCAGACACGGCAGACATGGGGCTCCTCCTTCTGCTTGTGTGAGCTGCCATCTACTACGACACCTGGGTAGGTGCGGCTTTCACAGAAGCTGCAGTTAGGGAGGGTTGGGTCCTCTTACTTAGGTGTCTTCTCACCTCTCTGGAGCTTCATTTTGCCCAGATCAAGGTATAAGATTTTGCGGACGGCGTGTTTCATCACCCCACTAAGTAATAGATTTTCTTATCGCCCCTTTCTTCTAGATGGTCACCACGTCTGGGAAATGGAAGCAAAAACTGACAGAGAAATGTGCAAGCCAGTAAGTATCGCTGCCTGCAGCCACACCGTGATGGTGTGCGCTCTCAAGGGTCTGTGGGGCCTGGGGCTGGAGACTCTAGGGGTGGCACCAGGGCTCCTGTTGGTTAAAGGAACCAACTAATAAAAATAACAGATACTATAGTGGAACAAGTGCTAAAAGCAATTGTAAAACACTTCCTGAAGCAGTTAGCACAAGGATACAAACTAGCGTGGGGACTAAAGAGCCCGGGTGGTGTAATGGTTAAGTGCTCCGCTGCCAGCTGAAAAGTTGGTGGTTCAGACTTAACTAGCAACTCCACAGGAGAAAGGCCTGACGATCGGCTCCCGGCTCCCGTAAAGATTACAGCCGGGAAACCCTATGGAGCGGTTCTTCTCTGTCACATGGGGCCACTATGAGTTGGAATTGCTGAGTTAGAATTGACAGCACACAACAGCGTGTGAGGACTTAGGACAGTAATGGTGACCACTGAAGAGGAGAGGCTGAATGGGGCCTTCCCACCCAGGAAGTGCTGAAACACCAAGCAAGCAAACCGATCCAGTCACAGCACACGTCCGCACAGGCCCTGCTCAGCAGTTTGGAAGCGTCCCCACATGAGGTCCCTCTGTGTCCTGCACGGGGCTGGTCTGCACTCCCCTTGCTGTCTGGTCACCAGATTCGATACAAGACCCCAGGTGGGATGAGGGTGCGTGCGTGGCCCTGCTGCCCGCCCACCTGTGAGCCTCGTGCCCCCGGCCCAGGGGGCAGGGAATTCCTGTTCTCCATCCTCGACCAAACCACCACCATTCCTGGTGGACTCTTGTTTTTTGAACGTGAAGTAGATGCTGGGTCACATCTAACTTTCTCTGTCAGATGTGCTTTTCCCTTTGCCAGCAGGCAGTGGGCTATTTATGTGGAGGCCACAGCACAGCACGTGACGTGGTTCTTTGGGGGCTGTGCTTGTTTTGGGGCTTCGTGTCAGGCTTGTGGGGTCCACATTCCCCTCCTAGACTCATGCGTACCCTTTTATATCCTTCTTGGCACCATTCACACATAGTAGGTGCCGAAGAAATAATTTTGTTTCTTTTAATGGATGAGTTGTGGAGCTGTTTTTCGTGGGGTTTTTTGTTTGGTTTTGTTTTGTTGAGTTTTCTGCTTAGTCCTGGAAAAGCAGCAGGACTCTTTGGGCTAATATGAAACATGCCACAGCTAGCTAGCAAGTTATTTTCAAAGAAATGCAAGTTCCCTCAGCTCTGTGGTTCATGGAATAGCCACTAAGAGGGAGAGGTATCCTTTTCCTGAAAGTGCAGGAAAACGGTGGCGTGCGTCCTCCAAAGTCTGTGTGTGGAAGTTAAATTATTCAGAAATGGGGTTCAGGTAAAATACTTAACATTTTCCTCAGAGTTATCTTTAGATGTTGGACAATTGGAGTCATGTGGACAGGAAGCCTTGGGAGGGTTTCACTGACATGGTCTCCAGCCCCTTCACTTTGGCCTGCAGAGCACCTGGTAACAGGGTCTCCGAGGCCCCCAAAGGAGGAGGTTCTTGTCTTGTCCTCAGCACTCTCCTCCTCTCAGCACCCTCCTCCTCCTCTCAGCTCCCTCCTCCTCCTCTCAGCACTCTCCTCCTCAGCTCCCTCCTCCTCCTCTCAGCTCCCTCCTCCTCCTCTCAGC